AAGGAGCTCGTACGACTAGACTTTTTGAACTAAAATGCTGTAATTTGGGTATATTGTACTTTGATATATCTATTTTGAGTACAAAAATCTATGCACATCTATACAAATTTTATCAAAAATAGATAATTGAATCTACTTGTGCACTATTCCTAAATATATATAATTGGAATTTATTATACGTCATTTTTAGGGAGCTCGTGAGACTACAATAATTGTACCCAAATGCTGTAATTTGTGCAAATTGTACTTTGATATATCTATTTAAGTATCGAGTACAAAAATCGCTAGATTTTTATTCGCATAATTAGTAATAAATAAAAATTTAACAAATGTGCACCGTGCGTTCTATACAAGTTTATATACTTGTTCTACTGGAGTATGAAATTTTCAAAATGCTATTTTCAAGGAGCTCGTACGACTAGACTTTTTATACTAGGATGTTGTAATTCAAGCACAATATGCCTTAATATATCAATTTCGAGTACAACTAAAAAAATCTATATATGTTTATACAAATTTTATCAAAAATAAATAATTGAACCAACATTATTCCTAATACTAAATATATATCATTGGAATTTGTTATACGTCATTTTTAGGGAGCTCGTGAGACTACACTAATTGTACCCAAATGCTGTAATTTATATAAATTGTACTTTGATATATGTATATAAGTATCGAGTACAAAAATTGCTAGATTTTTATTCGCATAATTAGTAATAGATAAGAATTTAACAAATGTGCACCATGCGTTCTATACAAGTATACATAGTTTTACTACTGGAGTATGAAATTTCCAAAATGCTATTTTTAAGGAGCTCGTAAGACTAGATTTTTTGTACTAAGATGTTGTGATTCAAGTACAATATACTTTAATATATCAATTTAGAGTATAGCTAAAAAAATCCATATACCTCTTTACAAATTTTATCAAAAATAAATAATTGAACCTTCATGTGCACTATTCCTAAATATATATAATTGGAATTTGTTATACGTCATTTTTAGGGAGCTCGTGAGACTACACTGCTTGTACTCAAATGCTGTATTTTGTACAAATTGTACTTTGATATATGTATATAAGTATCCAGTACAAAAAACGCAAGATTTTTGTTTGCAAAATTAGTAATAAATAAAAATTTAATAAATGTGCACCATCCACAAGTATATATAGTTCTACTACTAGAGTATGAAATTTCCAAAATGTCATTTTCAAGGAGCTCGTACGACCAGACTATTCATACTAGAAAGCTATAATTTTACAAAATAATACTTTAACATATCTAGTATTACAATTTCTATTCTATTTCCATTTACAAATTTTAATTCAATTCCGGGGGGGCTCATTACTCCGGTGGGTGCTCCTTCGGTGGGGTATCTTGTCGAACAATTGTTTGTAGCTCGTGTTGTAGCAAACAATAGCTACAATATAGCTATTGTCTGTTTGTTCGGTGCACGGATTTCTGTTCTATACGAACAAAACCCACCGTCCTGTATATAGTAGAGAATAGAGATTATAATGGGAAAATCGTATTGAGCCATTGTAGGGCTAAATAATATATATAGAAAGTATATGAGGATATTTCTGTTATTGATTTGTTTGTAAATATGGAAACACAATATGGAAACATAAAAGTAGTGATTTTTGTATTTTAGAGCAATGTAGAGATATTCAAGTATAATATACTTTAATTACAGTATATTAGTACTAATAGTCTAGTCTTACGAGCTCATTAAAAACAGCACTTTTGATACAATTTCATGCAATTTTTATACTTATGCAGAACGAATCATTGACGTAGTACACTTTATTTAATTTTTTTTATTACATTTTATCTAATTAAAATTTTTGTAATTTCTACATTTTAAATTTAAACAAAGATATTTATTTATAATATACTGTAATTGCAGCATTCTAATACAAACAGTCTAGTCCTACGAGCTCCTCAAAATGAGCGGTCTCGAAATTTTAAGCAAATATACATAAATTAGGGTGCGGTGCACATTGTTAGTATTATATTTATTACTAATTATTTGAATATAAATCTTGTATTTTTTCTATATTGTATTAAAATAGAGATATCAAAGTACAATTTACATAAATTACTGCATCCTAGTACAAACGGTTTAGCCTGAAGAGCTTTCTGAAATCGTCATTATAAAATACTATTGCCAGTGTAAATAAATGAAATAATTTTTGTTCCATGTTTAGGTTTTAAGTTGATATTTTCCTTATATTACATAATTTCAGTTCTTAATTGAGTTGATATTAATATTTTAAGGCCTAAAATAATTCACTTTCAGGTTTTAATTTAATATCTTTAATCTTCAGATAATTGTTTTTACTAATAATAATAAATAAAATTAGAGTTGGGAGTGAAATAATTCAATTTCAGGTTTTAAATGTATATTTTAGGTTAATGTATTAGATTTTCAGTTATATATTTTTGTTAACTTAAGTAAATAAAATAATATTTTTTACAAAATTAAATTGCTTAAAGTACTCAATTTAACACTTTTTGTTAAAATAAATGAAAAAGAGATAATAATTTTAATAAGTAGTAAAAAAATCAGGTCCAAAATAAACTAATTTCAAGCTGTAAATTTATATTTTTACAAATATTAATAAATAAGGATAAAATCAAGCTCTAAATATCATAACTTGAACTCCAAACAAAATAAATAAATTAGTATTTAGTCTAGACCATATAATATTAAAACTTTTATTTATATAAATATACACAGGTAAAATCAAGACTATAATATGTTTATTTCAGGCTTTAAATTACTAAGTAATGGTTTCAGGTTTTAAATTTTTATTTTTTCTAAATATTAATAATCTGAGAATGGCAATCGTAATCAAAATAAATTAATTGAGACTTCAAATTAAGTATAATATGTAAATAAATTGTTTTCAGGTTGATATCAGGCCTTAAATCAATTTTTTTTAAAAACATTTCAGATTTAATTAATTTCTTAAATTAAATAAAAAGAATAAACTCAGGTATTATGTTAAATGTAGGCCACATTACATGCTTTTTGTAAATTTAAATAAATCATGTTAAAATTAAGATATTTTCAGGCTATAAATCAATATTATTGTTTTGTATAAGATGATATTACAATGTAGTCAGTACCAGGCCTTAAACTTGCAATTTCACAAATAAACATTACAAAAAACTTCAAACTAAATTATGTAATTTAATCATTTTCTGGACTTCATTTAGTTAATTCAAGGTCTTAAATTTATAATATCAAAATTTAGATATTTAAGTATTTTAGGCACTTTAGATATAAAATTGGTATTATTTATGACTCATATTAATAAATAAAAATATGTTGAAATACTGAAAATAGAAATTACAGACATTATTAAAATATATAAATAAATTGTTTTCTGGCATATTCAGGTTAATTTTAGGTCTTGAATCAACATATTTGATTTTTTTTAAAAAATGTAATGAAATAGTCCTGATTTAATTATGTTGATTTTAAGTTAATAAATCAAAATTGTATTAATTTTAATGAATCAGGTTAAAATTCAGACTATAAATTAATACTTTCTTAGTAAATTAAATTAATTAACAGGCACTTAGACTTGCGCATTTTCATAAATACTCAGAATAAAAAAATAAAAAAAAATCAATTAAACAGTGTTAAACTTTCAGGTCTTTTTTGAGTTCATTTCAGGTCTTAAATAAAATTATCGGAATTGAAGTGTTTAAAATGATTTCAAATGTAGTATTGCATTTAAAATAAATGTTTTGGTTATTTAAAATAGATAAATCAAATTCAGGTTTTGTTTGAGTTGACTTCAGGTCTTAAATGATCATTGTTGAAATTAACCATAGTTTCAAGTTTAAAATTAATACTATATATAAAGAAAGTTACTAAATATAAAACCAGACATTTCAGGCCTTAAATCGTTATTTCCAAAATTGGAACAAATATATAGATATATATTTATATATTTATGTGTCAATGTATTATGCAGAGTATATATTTATGCGTATATCCACGTCCATATATCAAATATATGCGCATATTCTCGCATAGTGTATAATACACAATGTATAATATAATGTCCTTTGTAGAAAACATATTGTAGCAGCATGAAAATGGAAAATTCTACAAAACCCATTGTGAAAATCTCTTTATGTCGCGCACAACAATCCATTTTCTATATTTCTCTGCACGACCATCTCTATTTTTCTCTCTCCGAAACCCACCATCTATTCAAATAGACCAATGGGAATGCTGCATTGTGCGCAACCATCCACCAATTGGAAGGGGCGGCGATGGAAAGCAACCCGGGGGTAAGGGATGGCGATATAGGTAGACAAAGGTGAGACAGAGATGGGGATATTAGTGGTGTACGCCTAAAATGGGCGTCGATGTACCTGATGGTTGAAACAGGTACGACTATAGAGTTGAAAGATTCAGTATTATTCTGGCCATTGTGACAGACGCATGTGTTTAAATAAAAAAAAATAAAATAAAAGCAGTGATTATGCCACAATAGGGACAAAGCAATAATAGACTAATAGACAGTGACGTTCTGTGTTTTATTAAAATATACAAGTGCTTTAAATTTAAGTTTTAATGTGATATGATTAAAAACACTAGTGCTAAAAATGTCGATCCTTAACTCAACCACAATGCACCAACAAAACTCCTACGGGTACCACAACATCGAACACTTGGCCAACCCTTCATCGAACCACCAACAATTAGTAGACAACAACCACTTGTCACCTTACCATTTAAATAACAACAAAAAAGACTCCTCTACTACCCCTAATAGTGACATCCACCAAGATGACAGATGTCAGTCCCAACAGCAACATTTCGGTCACCTTTCCAACCATCTGCCGTCTGTCAGCGGTCATTTGACCGCCAATTCGGCACCTGGACATCTCACGATGGCCGCTGGCGGTCAACATCATATGGGGACGGGGGTTGGTGGTCATAATGGCCAGAGTTTGGCTGGTCAGGGCCAGGAGGGACATATTAAAAGGCCAATGAACGCTTTTATGGTCTGGTCCAGGCTGCAGAGGAGGCAGATTGCTAAGGATAATCCTAAGATGCACAATAGCGAGATTTCGAAACGATTAGGTAAGTGGAAATATGATAGTTTTTGCTATTAGCTCCTACACTAAATTCTTTTAAGGTGCATATATTTTAAGGGTGCATTTTTGTATAAAAATCGTAATTTACTCGAAAAGTAGATGCAATTTTTAATTTTTTTAAACTAGACAATAATATAGAAACAATTAGGTACGGCATACTGTATTTTTAGCATTCTGGTGTAATCGGTGTAGCCTTACGAGCTCGTTGAAAACGCACATTACAGGAATTTTTATTCGTGCTCATTCAATAATGAGCAATTTCTTGCCAAAATGTTGTTTGGATACATTTTTGTACTAAATCGCGAATTACAAGAAAAATAGATCAGATTTCAAAATTTTGAAAATTAGGCATAAATGTACATACAATTAGGTATGACATACTATAATGATAGCATTCTGGTATAACTAGCGTGGCCTTACGAGTTCGTTAAAAAAGCTTGTTAGAGAAAGTTTTGCTCGTACACTAATGAGTAATTTGTAAGTTGAAATTGATATTGTTGTTTGAGTACATTTTTGTGATAAATCGTAAATTACTTAAAAAGTAAGTGGAATTTTATAATTTTGAAAGTTAGACATTATTGTGAATACTATAAGTTATGACATACTATAATTATAGCATTCTATTTTGATCGGTGCAATTTTGCGAGCTCGTTAAAAACGCGTATTATAGAAATTTTTGCCGGTGTATTAATTAGTTAAAATGTATGTTGCGGTCCACATATTGTTTGAGTGCCTTTTTGTACCAAATCGTAAATTACTCGAAGAATAGATCAGAATTCAAAATTTTGAAAATTAAACAATAATGTACATATATTGAGTTAAAACATACGGTAATTATAGCGTTCTACAATAATCGGTGTAGCCTTAAGAGCTCGCTAAAAATGCAGTTTGTATTAATGAGTAAGTTAAAGTAAAACTTTTATTGCGGTCCAGGTACATTTTTTAACTGAATCGTGAATTTCTCGAAAATTAGTAGGAATTTCAAAATTTTGGAAACTAGACATTAATGTCCATATCTCAAGCTATAACATACTATAATTATAGCGAGCTCGTGATCATTATAGTATCATTTTATAATAAATAAAGAGTGGATCAGATACAATTTCGTACATTTTTGTCAATTTCTAGCAAACTATTGATATATTGAGTAATAACATACTGTATTTTTAGATTTATAGTACATAAAATGTTGCATTACGAGCTCGTTAAAAACTGATATTCAAACATTTGTACATAGTTTCGAACAAAATCAAACAAATCTACCTACAAATTACATAAAAATATGCATTTTTGTCAAATTGTGGTCAAAGTATATAAAATTAGCTATGACATACTATAATTACAGCATTCTAGTATAAAAAGTCTGGCCTTATAAGCTCATCAAAAACTTTACAAATTATAATTCGTTCCAAAAAGGCCCGACGCAATTATATAAATAAATCATAAATATAATACAAAAATGTTTATATAAATATATAAAATATAATCATAATATAAGTATAAATAACATGCAAAATTCAGATTTAGTTTAATAATACATTTTACGATTTTGAATAAAAAAACGAACTCAAAAATCAACAAAGTATTTTGTAAAAAGTATCATTTATTATGAATATGTTTGACGAGCCCCTAAGGGCGTACGGTTCGAGCAAAAATATGAATATTTTAGTATAGTTTAGTTGAATATATGTACTTTAATGATAACATAAAAAAATATAATTTTAATTTTTGTTTGCTATTAATTAATAATAAGTTTGAAGTATGCACTCATCCGTCCGACGTTAATTTCAAAACCAAATTAGACATTACTTAGTTTTGGTGTATACTAAATTTCAACAAGCTCGTAAGACTACACTGGTTGTACTAGAATGCTGTAAATGCAGTATGTTATTGCTGTATATATGCAAATTAATATGTGATTAACAAAAATTTATATTTTTATATATTTTGCTAGTTAAAAATAATTTTATACAAAATTGTACCCGCGCGTTTCTCATTTTGGTACAAATTTATGTTTTCTATAAAATTCATTTTCAAGGAGCTCGTAAGACTACACTCTTTATACTACAAATTTATAATTCTAGTATGTTATTTCTGAATATAGATAAATTAGCCACAAATTATAAAAAATACATATTTCAATGCACTTTATAAATAATTACTAATTTTGTTCACAAATACACCCTCGACATGCTACAAATTTTACAAATATTTATTTCAATATTTTAGAACGAAATTATATAGTATATAATTATATATAGAAGTTATATAGTATGCCGAGTTGGTCTAGACAATTTTGTTGTTAGAAAATTTTGTAACTTATTTAATTTTAAACAAATTTGTCTTATACATTGTTCATGTTAAAGAAATGTGCATTCTCAAACGCGCTCCTTGCAATTCTTGAGTTTCAAAAGCAATTTTAGGGTATACCTAAATGCTGTAGAGGTTCAAAATATTAGACAAAATTATAAACTATTTAATTTTCTTAATTCACACAAACGGTTCAAAAGTTACAAAAGATATAATAAATAAATGCACAAACAAAGTCACAACACCAAACATTGCAATATTCATTTTATTTACAAATAACAGCATCATTAACTATTATTAGTACAGTGGGCCAACAACATATGTCCCATTATACCAAATATAATTTTAAAATATTTCTCCAGCTAATAATAGTTTAAATAAACAATAATTTTTAGATTTTCCCGTCGTTGTGCAAGGTTGTTGTCATACATGTTAATTATGCTCATAGTTTACATTGTCATTTAGAACATTTCGGAATACTTTATTTTTTGTCGTGACGACTAAATTTTTTGTCGACGACTCTGAATTTGTTCAAACAATTATACGGAAGATGTTAAATAATTTAAAATTTAAATTAACGACATACGGGGGAAAAGAAATCTTCATTTTGCCAACAGATGTAAAGGACTGAAAAATGCAAATATTTATTATATGACTTATAATTTTTAAATGGGTTTGATGTGAACGGAATATTTGGGAAATATGTCCTATAATGAATAAGTTGTAATGTTGTTTAATATTTGAAACCTCTACAGCAACTCGGTATACTTTAAAATTGCATTTGAATATTAACATACATAACATACCTGATGTATTTGTACTGTGGGATTTAAAGTTGTATGTGCATTTGTTTGTTATATCGTTTGTAACTTTTAAAGGGTTTGTTTAAAACAAATAAAATATTCGGCAAATTTGTATAAAATTAAATAGTCTGTAATTTTGTTTAACATTATGTTGCTCTACAGAAACTCGTTATACTTTAAAATAGCATTAGAAACTGTAGATTGTATACGAGCATGCTGAAAGTACATTTATCTACAAAATTATTTATAACTACTTTTTGGTGGAACATAAATGGTACATTTGAGTAATATATTTAAATATAAATTTATAACATTATCGCTAACACTATAATGTCCAATAATAAAATTAATAAATAAAAGTTGTGAATAATAAAAATAATACTAGAAAAACAATAAAGTGGAATAAAAACAATAAGTGACAGATAATAATAAATATAACAAAATAACAATATTATAAATAATACAATAATAGTACAATAATAATAATATTAATATTAGCGTTTAAAATCACTTTTAAATTTAACATGTTTTTTCTCATATATTTTCTAATATATTAAAAATAAATTTAATTATTCAAAATTGACACAAAGTATATTATGAACTTTTGTTTAAAAATACTTTTATTTTATTTTTGACAGTACACTAGTTAATATATTATTTATTTTTTATTATACTTCGTAAAATTATTTATAAACGAACCCAAATTATTTTCCCTAGATTTTGCGTTTGCACGTTAACCTAAAACGAAGGGTCGGTCCAGGTTGCGTGCACTTCTAGGGAAAAACTTGCCTAACACCATATTTATAATAAATAATTTGTTTTAAATTTAATGTAATAAATATAAATATTGTAATTTGTTATAACTGTTAAATAATTCAACATCTAGTAACAATAATGAACGATAATATAAATTTAAACTAAAAGAGTACAAAGGATAGTATTTACATTAAAATGATATCCGTATGATGATTTAATATAAAATAGAAGCAAATAATAATAATAATAAAATTGATAAATAAAATAATAGACTAAATATAAGAGCTTATAAATTGGACGTCGAGGTTTATATATGTTTACATGAAAAGTGAATAAACAAAACTTAATTAATCGGATTTAAAATAAAGGACATTGTCTAATATTTATAAGAATTATTTAAACTGAATTGCGTAAAAATTGATTAAAATCGTTACTTATAGTAATTACGTAACTTGCAGACGTTATTTTTACAAAATATTAAATACCAAAGAATAGAAATCTATATTAAAGATTTCTTTTAATTACAATATTTGTTACAACTGTTAAATAATTTAACATACAGTAATAATAATGAACATTAATATAAATATAAATAAAAAAGAGTATAAAAAAAAGGATAGTAGCTTCATTAAAATGATATCCGTAGTATGATAATTTAATATAAAATGAAAGCAAATAACAATAATAATAAAATAAATAAAAATAAATAAAATAAATAAAATTTCTGAATAATAAAAATAATACTAGAAAAACAATAAAATGGAATAAAAACAATAAGTGACATATAATAATAAATATAACAAAATAACAATATTAGAAATAATAAGATAATAATATAATAATAATAATAACAATAATATTAATATTAATATTAGCGTTTAAAATCACTTTTAAATTTAACACGTTTTTTCTCATATATTTTCTAATATATTAAAAGTAAATTTAATTATTCAAAATTGACACGATATGTATTATGAACTTTTGTTTAAAAATACTTTTATTTTATGTTTTGATAGTACACTAGTTAATATATTATTTATTTTTTATTATACTTCGTAAAATTATTTATAAATGAACACAAATTATTTTCCCTAGATTTTGCGTTTGCACGTTAACCTAAAACGAAGGGTTGGTCCAGGTTGCGTGAACTTTTAGGGAAAAACTTGCCTAACACCATATTTATAATAAATAAATATTTTTTAATTTAATGTAATAAATATAAATATTGTAATTTGTTATTACTGTTAAATAATTCAACATCTAGTAACAATAATAAACGATAATATAAATTTAAACTAAAAGAGTACAAAGGATAGTATTTACATTAAAAAGATATCCGTATGATGATGATATAATATAAAATAAAAGCAAATAATAACTAGTGGGGTTGGTGGCATCGAGCCTTAAGGCAAATTGCTGGAACTTCCCGTACCGTAACGAAATGTTCGAGGAATATTGAATGTTTTCAAATAGATTATTATAAATATTGTAACATTGTCTAATATTTATAAGAATTATATCAACTGAATTGCAGAGTTGAAATTATTTGTTTAAAGTATATTAGAACTATTGTCAGAATTAAAAATAAAATCTGAATTATTTTCGATATACCAAAAATAAAAAAAAAAAAAAATTGAAACAAAAATTTTTTTTTTCCAAAATCGATTATTCTGTTAAGACAAGCAGAAAGTTCTTAGAATCAATTGAATCAGATGCTTAGTTCTCTCAAAAACTGCCATTTTTTGTACATTTAGCTCTATATCTTCGAAATGGCTGGGCCTGCCTTTGCGAAAAACTAATAACCACTTTTTCCAATCATTACTAATTGAATGTTTTTTAGATCATTCAAATCGGATGCTCCGTTCTCTCAAAAACTCGATTTCTATTTGCTGCACTCTTTGCTCTTTATCTCCGTAACTGCTGGACCTGCCTTTGCCAAAAACTAATCAGCACATCTCCTTATCAATAGGAATCGAATGTTTTTTGAACCATTCAAATCGGTTGATCCGTACGCCCGAAAACGTGGGCGAAAAATTGTATCCATACATACATACACACACACACATACACACACATCCATTTTTTCTGAAGTATGCCAAAATGTTCAGAAACATTCAAAACGTCGAAAAATGTAAAAAATTTCAATTCCGATTTTTGGCCCATTACAATAACTTACCCTACGAGTAGTTAATAGTAATAAAATTAATAAATAAAATAAATACAATTTCTGAATAATAAAAATAATACTAGAAAAACAATAAAGAGGAATAAAAACAATAAGTGACAGATAATAATAAATATATCAAAATAACAATAAAAAAAATAATAAGATAAAAAAATAATAATAAAATTAATAAAAATAAATAAAATAAATACAATTTCTGAATAATAAATAATAATCCAAGATGTCAAAAATAATCAGTAATTTCTCATAAATCCATTACCCCAATTTTTCATAAATCCATTATCCTTTTTTTCCAGGTGCCGAATGGAAACTCCTGACAGAGTCCCAAAAGCGGCCCTTCATCGACGAAGCAAAACGGCTGCGAGCCCTGCACATGAAAGATCACCCCGACTACAAATACCGGCCACGTCGCAAACCCAAAAACCCACTTCAGATAACCCATCCCCATCAGCAGGCCTATCATCCTCACCAGAAGACCTTACCAGGTCATCCTGGTAACCCGGCAGCAGGCGGTTTCCCATCCTTCGCCCTGCCTTATTTCTCAGGGCCACAAATTTTAGGGGATCCTTACAGGCCGTATTTCGGGTCTTTGGATCCGGTGGCCCATTTTTCGCAGCTGATGCAGGCCGATCCGGCCAAAACTCTGAGTTTATACTCTACTTTGTACCAGGGCCAACAGGCGACACCCACTTCGGCGTTGACTTCTGGGACATCGACGGCGACTTCGATGAGGTCGCCTTATTTTACGGGGAACTCGAATTTGTATCCGGGATTCACGGGAAGTCCCGGGGCCAGTCCTGGGTCTAGCCCTGGCAGCCAGGATAATAATAATCATCTACGACAACAAGGGCAGATACAACAGTTTCCAATGGACAACAACGTTGTGGCCAATGGGCAACTCAATGGCCAACAGTTGACCAATCCTCAGGATCTTAAACAGGAGCTTAAATTCGATGCTTTGAGGAGGCCGGTACCTGTTTTGTATTAATTTTTGTTTTTAGTTGTGATTTTGTAAATATTGACTTTAGTTGATCATATGCTAGTAACATAGTTAGATTTTTTCGTGCAACTGGTGATCTTATCTCATAAATTAAAAATCTTATCTTCGTAAAAGTTGTCTAGATATCCACGAAATGGATTTTGGTAAAATTTGGTCGACTTCCATTTTTTTACCAAATTTTGGATAAATTTTTCATAACTGACGCTTAATTTTTTACTAAATTCTGGGTAAATTTTCGTGAAAGAATTGATTCTTTTATTTTTTGACAAAATTTTGGGTAAATTTTCGTGAAAAATTGATTCTTTTATTTTTTGACTAAATTTTGGGTAAATTTTCGTGAAAAAATTGATTCTTTTATTTTTTGACTAAATTTTGGGTAAATTTTCGTGAAAAAATTGATTCTTTTATTTTTTGACTAAATTTTGGGTAAATTTTCGTGAAAAAATTGATTCTTTTATTTTTTGACTAAATTTTGGGTAAATTTTCGTGAAAAAATTGATTCTTTTATTTTTTGACTAAATTTTGGGTAAATTTTCGTGAAAAAATTGACCCTTAATTTTTGACAAAATTTTGAGTAAATTTTCGTGAAAAAATTGATTCTTTTATTTTTTGACTAAATTTTGGGTAAATTTTCGTGAAAAAATTGACCCGTAATTTTTGACAAAATTTTGGGTAAATTTTCGTGAAAAAATTGATTCTTTTATTTTTTGACTAAATTTTGGGTAAATTTTCGTGAAAGAATTGATTCTTTTATTTTTTGACTAAATTTTCGTAAAAAAATTGATTTTTTTATTTTCTGACTGAATTTTGGGTAAATTTTCGTAAAAAAATTGATTCTTTTATATTTTGACTAAATTATCGTGAAAAAATGGATTCTTATATTTTTTTATTAAATTTTGGGTGAATTTTCGTCAAAAAATCTGACCTTTATTTTTTTTGGGTAAATTTTGGTAAAATATCTGACCTTTATTTTTTGGCCAAATTTTGCACAAATCCATTCCAATTTCAAGATGTATATAAATTTGTATTTTTAAATTTTTTTTGTATCAGTGCTGTGCAACTGTTACACTAAACGGGTCACTTTCGAAATGCGGTTAATTTTTTTTTAAATAAATTTGAAAAAATATATTTATTAAATACAAAAATGCAATTTTTATGTTAGCATATTTTTCACAATTTTTTTATTCTATTATATACAATTTTTCTCATTAAAAATTTTTTTTGGTCTCAAATTAAACAAGTTGAGACCATTCAGGTTTTACTTAAAGGGTATGGGCGTGTTTCCATACAGAATTGGCCCCACCCTGGTATTTAAATAATTTTGATGCCATTTTATAGGTATTTTTGAGAAAATCCGATATACCGAATTTCAAATCCGTAGCTCATCATTTGGCCGAGATATCATTGAAAATGTGTGAAAGTGGCCCCTTTTTTCAAAGTCGTTTTTTGTCGCAACGGTGAAAAATATCAAAAAAACAAATAACGGGATTATATTCATATCGATGCCTACTATATTTTTAATAACAAATATTGTTTAATAATTATTTTTTAGTGCAGGAAAAAGTGAAAATAATTTTTCGTTTTGAATTTTCGGGTAGTGCGGTTGTTTGGACTAATTTTTAATTAGCATTATTAGAACGGCTATTCAATTTTCTTTTAGTGTGCAAAATTTTGTTTTATTTCATGTGGTAGAACACATTCAAAATTAGAAAAAACCTGAGCAAGTACACGCTCGCGCTCATATAGCACCCGCGTAAGTCGTCTCTCATTCGCAACGACTAGCAACAGCATTGCTCGCCGCGCATCGTGATAAATTAAAACATTTTTAATAAAACACAATATACGTGTATATACATTTATATTTTGAATAATTATATATTTATATGTATATGTATAATAATAACTATATTTTTATAATTAAATATATATTATTTATATATTGCACAAGTATATTATATGATTTAATCATCATTAATAATTTATTAATTAATTATTACTTATTAATTAATTATTAATTATTATTTATTGATATTAATTAATAATACCACTAATAAGTAAAAAATAGATTGATAAAAAATACATAATAATAGTATATCGGTATATGATTACTATTCATGCTACAGCGCAATTTTGTACAAATGCAAGTATACTAAGTTAGTCATAAATATATTAAATATCTTGAAGTTTTTTTTTAAATTAAATAATATATATGAATATATTGAATAGAATATCTCAACCTATAAATACTCATAATAATTATTGAACTATTGCACTATTGTGTATCATCCTTAACTAAAATATTTGAAATTTCGCGGCAGTATAATTATAATATATATTGTATTGTGGTGATAACTAAATTATATAAAATTGAATTGACACTAAAATATAAGAAAAGTGCAAAATCAACTGGTACAAAGGTGTAGAGCACACAAAAATTAAAAAGAGCATTATTTATTTAATAATTATCAAAAACTTCGTGATTAGTTAAATTCCAAAATTATATTAGTTTTATGCTGTCTGTATTTTGTTATGTTATGTGTGGTTTTTGCGGGCAAAATTTCAAATATTTTAATTAAGGATGATACACAATAGTGCAATAGTTCAATAATTATTATGAGTATTTATAGGTTGAGATATTCTATTCAATATATTCATATATATTATTTAATTTAAAAAAAAACTTCAAGATATTTAATATATTTATGACTAACTTAGTATACTTGCATTTGTACAAAATTGCGCTGTAGCATGAATAGTAATCATATACCGATATACTATTATTATGTATATTTTTTATCAATCTATTTTTTACTTATTTAGTGGTATTATTAATTAATATCAATAAATAATAATTAATAATTAATTAATAAGTAATAATTAATTAATAAATTATTAATGATGATTAAATCATATAATATACTTGTGCAATATATAAATAATATATATTTAATTATATAAAAATATAGTTATTATTATACATATACATATAAATATATAATTATTCAAAATATAAATGTATATACACGTATATTGTGTTTTATTAAAAATGTTTTAATTTATCACGATGCGCGGCGAGCAATGCTGTTGCTAGTCGTTGCGAATGAGAGACGACTTACGCGGGTGCTATATGAGCGCGAGCGTGTACTTGCTCAGGTTTTTTCTAATTTTGAATGTGTTCTACCACATGAAATAAAACAAAATTTTGCACACTAAAAGAAAATTGAATAGCCGTTCTAATGATGCTAATTAAAAATTAGTCCATACAACCGCACTATCCGAAAATTCAAAACGAAAAATTATTTTCACTTTTTCTTGCACTAAAAAATAATTATTAAACAATATTTGTTATTAGAAATATAGTAGGCATCGATATGAATATAATCCCGTTATTTGTTTTTTGATATCTTTCACCGTTGCGACAAAAAACAACTTTGAAAAAAGGGGCCACTTTCACACATTTTCAATGATATCTCGGCCAAATGATGAGCTACGGATTTGAAATTCGGTATATCGGATTTTCTCGAAAATACCTATAAAATGGCATCAAAATTATTTAAATACCAGGGTGGGGCCAATTCTGTATGGAAACACGCCCATACCCTTTATTACAAAATTAACTTCAAAATTTAAAAATATTAGCATTTATATTCCAAAACTTATTTAAAACCTGAATTTACTCAAGACCTAAAATTATTTACTTTATAAAAAATCGAGAAAAATTATTTTGGCCTTAAATCAAATGGCATTTAAACTAAAAAGTAATAAATTATTTATTTAAATATTAATAAAAATTATTTGCTGGCTTTGAATATGTTAAATTCAGGTCTTAATTTTTTTTTATTCATAATTTAAACAATTTGTCCAAAAATGTATCGATTTAAGGCTTTAAGATAATATTATGCCGATTTTTAATAAAATATGATTTTAGGCCTAAAATATTTATATTTCAGGCCTAAAATTAAACAAATAATTTAGTAACAAGCCTTAATTTAGTTAATTTCAGACCTTAAATTAATATTTAATGTATTTATATAAAATTAACATTAACCCTTTTTTTAATTTGAAAAAATGAATTAATTTCAGGCCTAAAATCTGTTGATTTCAGGCTTTAAATTAATAGTTTTGTTAATTTAATTTAATACAGTAAAATAGAGCTTTAAATTAACATTTTCGTTATTTAAAATTTAATAATTTTGATATTTTGTTTAACAAAAATATCCATAAAATCAGGTTTAAAATAAGTTAATTGCAGACTTTAAATAAACTTTTTGGTCAATTTAAAAAATACTCGAAAATCAGGTTCGTAATAAATTAATTTCAGGCTTTAAATTAGTTATAAAAATTATACAAATACTAAAAATAATCAAAAAAAAAATTTTTAAGTAAAAATAATGATATACAGGTAATAAATCACTTTTGGACCTAAAATACGTTGATTTCAGGGCTTAAATTAGTTTTTTTTAGATCAAAAAAATTTTTTTTAGCAAATATAAATAAAAAAAATTTATTTACACTCATTAGCTAGAAAAAAACGCATTATTGTATTTTTTAATATTTTTTTTAAACAATTTTCTGAAGATCTCTCCAACCGCTACCATAATTTTTCTTCTAACTAAAATAATCAACTAATTAACTATTTAGTTAATTAATTAAATATATATATATATATATATATATATATATATATTACTTTGTAAATATATAATATAGTAAAGTTGTTGTGTAATTATTTAACTAATAAATATAAGTTTTTGTTAATATAAAATTGTGTAAAGCGAATTGTAAATTTGTGAAATCCATTTTGTACATATTAGTTATTAATAATAATAATTAGACTAATTAGATAATTGATTGATTTTGAATGTATTCTGTATTATTATTATTATCTAGTTTTAGATTTAAATAAAAATAAATACTACTGCTAGCCATATTATATAATTCGCACGAGTCGCAAGCAAATTTAATAAAATAAAGAAAAATTGTTTAGA